CAGTCTAAGATGTTTGATGGATGTTGGTGTGTGTTTTCCAACAGCATCAACCCTGTCATAGTTGGACTGGTTGGACAGTTCATCTTTCACTTGATGAAGAGCAGAAAGCCCTGGGGAAGCTGGTTAGTCATGCTACATCAGTGCGTTTGCATAAAACATGCAAGATGATCTTTTGCTGCCGGGGTATCTCCCAGTAGGGCTGCCGCCAAAAGCAGAAGGGGTTTTTCCAGGAATACCAGACCCTGCTGTTCCCTAACTTCGCTCCCCCCCCTCCCCACTCATCCTCCATTCCTCTAGCCCTCTTTCTCCTCATCAGCCTCTCCCATCGCCCCTCCCCTGGCACTGTGCCAGCCCTCCCTCAAATTCCACACATCTGATCATTTCTGGGAAACACCCACGACAGGACTGTCCAGCACACTGCATGGAGAAAAAAAAGCCTTGTGGTTTCTGCGGCAGCATGAAGAAGTCCAGCGGTCCCTTTTATAAAGGGAGGGGGGCGGAGGGGGGTCGGGTAGTAGGTCAGAGTGGATACTTTCTAGGAATTCTTCATGAATGGCAACATTGCGCAATTCAAAAGAATGAGAACAAGAGCAAAAACAAAACTGAGAAGAAAAAGAGCAACAATAGGAACAGCAAGAAGAACAAGAAAAGAGAACATGAAGTGGAACAACAACAACACGAGGAACAGCAAGAAGAACATGAAAAGAGAACAACACGAGGTACAACAACAACAAGAGGAACAGCAAGAAAAGAGAACAACAACAAGAAGATTTGCTGGATACATTTCATGGTGTAAATCATCTTAATTGTTGAAAACAGTCTTTCACTTATGTGGAAACTTGTCAAACAAGATTGCAACAGATCCAGTTGAATAACTGCAAAATAAAAATAAAAAATAAAATACTCTCCCACTCTTTTTGACCAGAGGCCAGGCTGAGTGTATTTACCTTTTTACCAGTCTTTTACTCGCCTTGATTCTTTTCAGGTCAATTGTAACTACTTAACACCTTCAGGGGCACGATACACCCTCAGCTGTCTTCCTCTTTCCCTTTTTTTAAAGTCCTGCGAATGACTCACTCGTGCTCTCAATTTAGAAAATGAACGGAGCATCAAAGACATGAGAACAGAGGAGCAGCAGATGGCTTCTGCTTTGTTTTATGAAAATGTTCGACAGACCCGGCTGCAGGGTCTTAGTAGATATATATTTTTTAAAATATTTGAAACAGCACAGAGGCACAGTTCTAACTTCATCTTGACAAACGCTCTGTCAAATCAACTCTGAGTAACATTGAATGCACTTTGAAACTGTCTGGCACTTAGTGTTCTGTTCTGGGTGGCAGGTAGAAATGGGGAACAAAGAAGGTTGAATTGATAAAAATCTTGACAGAAATCACTTTAAACCTGCATATTTTATACACTCCTTCTGGGGATTTTTTTAAAGTGAAAATGTGAAAATCAAAACATGAGCAGCCCCATGTTTAGTCAAGGATGTCCCTCAACACAACACAAACACACTTATTCTTGCTCCTTTTCCGGCTTTGTATCACATCTCTGTGACGTGAGTCCCCATGATTCAGACCAGAGCTTCTCATCACAATCAGGAAAGAAAACACACACACACACACACACACACACACACACACACACACACACACATCCTGTCTTCAAGGTCTGCTTCCACAGAAAGCCAAGCAATGACGACATTTATTTACACACATTGTGCACTTCTGCTCTCCAGTCGCATTATTGAAATTGCTTTTATAAACTAACCTTTGCCCACTCATAGCTGGAGGCTGGGAGTTCAAATCAGCTGGTCCTCAAGGTCCTTTCCAGTGTTGTCTCCAGGGTCAGAGGTCAAGTTCTTTAGTTTCCAGAGTCAAGTCTCGAGTCTCAGCTCTTAATTCTTAATGGTTGGCACGATAAATATTTATGGTTTAACTGACCGATGCATCTGAAATAGGATTCTCTTGTGTTTCCATTCTGTGTCAGCTAATTTGAATACATTTGAGCCAAAAGTTAATCAGGTTGCATATTAAACAGCGAGAAAAACTGCATAAAAAAATGTGAATTTGGTATTATACTAAATCGCAAATATGGTTTTGGGCCTCAACTAATCATTATTTTTTATTAAAGGTTCATTTTTACTTTTATCCATTATTATTATAGAAAAATACGTCTTAAATTTAAATTTCTGTTTATTCAACCTACAATCCCAAAGGCAAAGAAACAACACCAGACAGTGCCAACACACTGTTTAAAGCAATCACAGTTTGTCCATATTTGTTCTTTCTTGATGATGATTGGCCATTTCTATGAAATAAAGGAACAACTTCCAATGGTCGCAAAGTGGACACACAGTGCTATAAAGACATCACATTCTATCCTAGCCTCTGTGCCTCCATTGTGTCCCACCTTATTCTCTCTCCATATCTCTCCTTTCTATTACTCTTTGCCTTTATTAGCCTTTGTCTGTCTTACCCGCTTTGTTTTCTACTTTCAGTCTTCCCCCAGATGCTGAGACTTTGGGTATCTAGTTGATCCAGAGGCTGTTAATCTAGTAATCCACAATCAATATCAGCCTAATCTCTTTCAGACAGATAAAAATGGCTAATCTGATAAAAGTATATTGTTCGTCTCTGTGGAAGTAAAAAGCTGCCCTTTCCACCATGCTTTGTTCACATTGCTGGGATTCTTCTTCTTGTATTGATTAAGTCTTTTAACATGCAGAGTATACATAACTAAAGATTAATTTTCATACATGCACTCCTTAAAACATTATGAAACATTGCAGCACAGCATGGCTCTGAACTCTTCCTGAGTTGCTCTTTCTAAGTGATATTAGAGTTCTCCACAGTATCAACAAACAAGTATGAGAAAGAACATGCTGCCAAGTAGAAACCAGTAAATAAAGATCAAACTGGTTACGCAGCAGTCACATGATGTAAATATCTCAACCCCCTGCCCATTTACCAGTGGAGGATTTTCTAGAATATTACCTGCTGTGTTCACATGTTGGCTCACCCCAGCTTCTTGCAGAAATGTTCCCAGCAGGGCCAGCAGGAAAAAAAATCCTGCTTTTATTTGGAGTAAAACAAAGCAGACTGGACATTTGTGTTAACACATGTAGCTCAACCCAAAACTTTGGGGACATGTTCAAGAGTTGTGTTGCATGTGGGAAAGACTAAAACATGAGGCATTTTTCCCAACATTTACCGGTCTAGATTGTGATACTGCAGTGAATATGTCTTTTCTCTTGCAGCTCATCCATTAAATAAGTTTTAAGATAATTTCAGTGTTACAGAACTTACGATTTAATACAAATTGATGCAATAAAAGCAATTATTAAAATACTCAAAGGAGAAAAAAATGTATCTCGTCTACAGCTCAACTCACTCATCTTGAACGCTGCTCTAGAAATATGTAATCAGGTTATTATTGTCTGTCTTTTGTCCAAGGAGACATCAGCCTTGTTGTTTTTCTTGAGTAATGTTCTCATGTGTAACCAATGAAATACAAACCTAAACTCATCAAATTGCGGGGTCTATGTTCAGATGCAGAAATTGCCAAGATGTAATTGTTTTCAGTCCAGTGATTTCATGGTGTAGTTTTTGGCTGCAGTTTCCTGTAGCACTCAGGTAATTTAAATGAAAACCAAGTTGATTGGCTAATTAGGCTGCTGAACTTGTGTCCTCAGAGTAAATTTGAACCCTCAGGAGGCGAGTCCCTTTCAACGCATGTGGATGATCTGTGGGACATTTTGAGAGATGGGTTTTTTATGCACATGTTATTTTAATGCAGAAGTATAAGAGTGCTGTGGTTACTTGTGATGATGAGGCAAACACTCGTCGACAATTTACTTTTGGTCATGGTCAATCAAAAGAGATAATCTCCTCCGTTGGTGTTTGAATTTACAAGTTTCCCTCTACCTCCTCAGCCTATGCTTAGAGAATGATGATCAGAAGGACTACCTTTGTTGACCCTGAAGTAAATGTTTTAAACCAACATGTATACAAACTCCAGTCAGTACAGGAGAGTGAAATGTTCACACTTAGAATGTCCAACTTGATATCGAAACATGGCAGATGCAAAATGTTACCAGGAAAAATGGCTAATAGTAACGACTTATTGTCTTATATAAATCTCTTCTTTCCATTATTTATTTTTACACTTTGGCAAGTTTATTTTATTTTTTGAATATTTTACATGCAGAGAAAATTACTTTCAGATGATTTACCATAACCAGAACATTTGCGTTGGATTACATAATGTACATGCAGAATAGATTTATTTTTGTTGCTTCATGACGGTATGTTTTTATCTCTTTTAAATAAAGGTGTGTAACATTTGTAAAATGTTTTACCAGCTAGCCATGGTTCTGTGGCAGAGATGGATATGCATCTAATTTTTCTGGGGCAATTTATGGTCATAGGGTAGGTAATGTAACTTAGCAGTATGGTATACCCCCCCAATTGGATATAGGGGGCATGACTGGAGCAAAGGGTGTCTTTACTGAGCACTTATCCTTTCATTAGGGCACAAGTATCTTCTGTTTATTTCAAACACACACTTTTAAAAGTTTCTTAGGGATCTGAAATCCTTGAGGTCCTTGTTGTGACTTAATCAAATCTAATTAGTTATTTTGTATGGCTTTATGCACAAAATATGTAGACAGTAAATCTAAGAATAAAAAACAGTCATAAATGCTAACTTATTTTTTATTTATTTTATTAAACAGTATTTAACCAGGAGAAAAACTCATTGACTTTAATAATCTCTTTTTCAAGAGTGTTGAAAATGGCTCATCAACAGATAAACTCAGCCTAGTTTTAAAGTGTTACTTTGAGGACACAGTGTGTTCCAGGCAGTAGCACCACATGCAGCCAGTAGGGGGAATCGACTGCTCGCGTTGATGCCATCCCCCCTCTGGTCTCCTCTCCTCCTCTCCTCCTCTTCCCTGCGTTCTCCCAGGTTGTGGAAACGCTGCAGCCCACTGGTCTGTGTCTGGGTCCCTCTCTTGTACAGAGCTGCTCAAGACCCTCCTACCGGCTGGGCTCGGGAAGGAGGAGGCAGTTTGCTCTACTCGCAAAGCCTTGGACGAGCCCCCTTTACCGCCCTGTCAGTGTGTAGGAGAAGGAGAGAGAGAGAGAGAGAGAGGCTGAGTGATAGAGAATACACACGAGAGAGAGAGTCACTGTGCGATAGAGGGAAAGAGAACGAGGCAGGCTGCTTAGAGGAGCGAGAGTGCCAAGGACGGAATAAGGAACACATTTTACAAGAGCAGGAAGAGGGAGGATCGCAGACGAGGGACTCCTTCTCTACTGGGCACCTGGGACACAGTCACTGCTTTTTTTTCACTCGTCTTCTATCTCGTACCTAGTGGACTAACCAACCGGTGGATTTTTTTTAATACACGCTTTTGCCACATCATTCAGGAGCTGGGATAATTATCTGCCCTCTTGCCGACTCTACTGCTTCAGACTGAGATTGTTCTCTGGTTCTGTCTTCGACTTGTGTTTGTGATTCTGCTGCTGTGCAACACAAAGTGCATCCGTCGGCCACCGGTGCTGAGGATATCTCCCCCTCTGTCAAACAGGACAGCACGCAGCCACCGTCGAATCAGACTACAGAGGAGAGAGAGAGAGAGAGAGAGCGAGAGAGAGAGACAGTGTGTGTAAAGAGAGAGAGGGGCAGTGAGACAGAGTCAGATTCAGTTGAGAGAGAGGCAGATTAAAGCCCAGGCGAAAGACTGGACCTGAAACAGCTCTAAATAGAGGAGTGAACCTACACATCCTCTCCCGTTTTTCCTTGCCATCCCTTTCCTTCTTCCTCCTCTCCTCCTCCTCCTCTTCCTCTCCCGTTTCCAACATTCACAGGACTGCCAGAGCAACTGCCACCTGCACCTCTTCTCTTCTCTCTTCTTCTTCTACCTCACCCTTATCACGCATTACTATCAGATACCGGCAGCCACACAGAAAAAGCTGCTTTTGGTTCCAGCACTTGTGGAAATATTCCCATTGATCCAGCATTATCCACCTGATATTGAGACTCTGGAACCAGTGAGCTATCCCCGTCAGAGGAAGACTTACTCCCAGCGGCTGTCCAGAACGCACACCCTGCCTTCTCCCTGGAGATCCGACTAGCGACACATCAGTGCGGACAGCCAAGACAAGGAATCACACAGCCCCCGCCGCTGCCTCTATCCCATCGCTAGCTACTTGGCAGCTCCCGCCCCTGTGTCACCATTCCCTGCCTCAGTGCTAAAGATTCCAGCTACATGGGCAAGCGATTGGAGCAGCAGCCAATGTACCCTCAGTACACCTACTACTACCCCCACTATCTCCAGACCAAGGTATGCCGGCTCTTCCTCAACCCTACTCATCTATACTTCATTCCTCCCTCCCTCCCTCCCTCCCTCCCTCGCTTGCTCACCCTCACCAACACTCCCCCCACCTCCCGTCTTCCAACTCACTCCCATTCATCCCCCTCTCATCCCTGACTGGAGATGGGATTTGATGGATAGCTGGCCTTGGCTGTGATGGTTTCAGATTGTGTGTGTGTGTGTGTGTGTGTGTGTGTGTGTGTGTGTGTGTGTGTGTGTGTGTGTGTGTGTGTGTGTGTGTGTGTGTGTGTGTGTGTGTGTGTGTGTGTGTGTGTGTGTGTGTGTGTGTGTGTGTGTGTGTGTGTGTGTGTGTGTGTGTGTGTGTGTGTGTGTGTGTGTGTCTGAGTGAAGGATCAGAGATCAAGGCTGGATGCTTAGGTCTACTGTTGGTCCAGCCTACTAGACCGTTAAGAGAAGCTTGTCCTGTAACCTCCATCCATCTCTCACCTGCAAACTCCTAAGCTCTTGATGTGATACTGTGCAGCGATATCAAGTGAAACATGTCGGGTATAAATATTACAAAGCTTTCGGTTAGCTAATAACAAAACTGATTGAACTCTCATTTTGTGCTGTCAAACATTAAACAAACAAGCGAATCAGGCTCCCAATTAAATCCACTAATAAAATAATTGAAGGCTGAATGTCTGCCATTTTTTAAACGCTTCGATGCTCTGTTTCTAAAGAGGCAAATTGAACATTTAATTTTGAAGTTACTAATTCACTTAACACCACAAATGTATTTTTTGTGCTTTACAAAAAAAAGAGGACAAACAGGTTCTGACCCTTCTTTTTCCATGTTGATGGTGGGTCTGGTTCAGAGAGAGAGCAGGCATGAGGACGGCTGCCTGTGTTTGCTCTAGCCCTAGTATGCATCAGTGCCTCTGGGATGGGAGCCCAGGACTGAGCCCTGGTGGCTGCCAGGATCCTGGCTAGGTGCACTACCCAGACCGCATTAAATGGGAGCCTTTTTAGGGGATTACACTTTTTGCTTTCTTACATGTTTAACACTTATTTCTGTCCATTATTGTGTCTGCCTGATGGTACTGCAATGACTAGACAACATACGTAATGAAGGTGTGAAGTTGATATTAATTATCTCTGGCTTTGATATTGAACCAGAACATTTTTTTTTGAGCACCGTCCCAAATGTGCCCGTAGCATTGACTGTCAAACTGTGTTAGCATTCTGACAGTCAACGCTAAGGGTAAGTCGTTATTGAATTAAAGGACTTGACAGATGTTTATCCTTTTTTTTTTTCATAAAGATAATTCCTGATCTTAATTACTAAAGTTCTTCTAGCTTCGCTTTGTTTTATATCCAAACATAGTTCTTTATTTAAAACTAAACCATTGAGCATTGGACTGTATCTATTTACCCCAAATGAAAGTTATTGGAAAAAAGTATTGTTTTGGTGTTGGCTCCAAACCTGCAGTTTTGAACATTCTCCAATGATACTTAGCCTGAGGATTACAAGTTTTAATGTTACAAATTTCCCCTATTATAACAAGGAAATACGTCAGAAAAAATGTTCAAGTAATTACTGTGTTGGAAGAAAGAGATAAAGCAAAATACCGGCGATGTTTTCATCCTTTTCCATTTGGAGTGAACCAGTTTGCTTCCAGCAGGGAGGACCTGCCTGCAGCCCCACCTGGCAGTCCACTCGCTCTCCCCCTGATTTATAGTTGAATACATTTGTGCTGCTGCCATATGGCTTCCCTCTCCTTCCTACCCCCTCCCTCCATCACCCCCCTCTACCTCCCATCCCATATCTCAGAGTTGCTCATCTCGTGGGCCTCTCAATCAGGATATACCCCTCCATTCGGCCCTCCCTCCCTCCTTCCTTCATGTCCACCCCCCCCCCCCCCCCCACACACACACACACACTTCCCTCCTCTCCTTCTGCCTTCCTTCTCAGTTGCAACAGGGCCCCCTGCCATCTTCGCCGATGCTGCAGTTCACTCCCAAGGTCAGCGCAGATCCGATCTTGCCACCGTCAGCGATTGATGTATCCTTGAGCGAGTCGCTGGGGTCCAGTGTCATGCAAACGAGACCCATGGTTTGGGGGTGGGGGGAGAACAGCATACATTTCCTTTTTTTAATCAGCAGCAAACATTTGTAATCATTTTCATGGTTTGTTAAAATAGCCAGTGGCTTGATGCACTGATATGATAGAGCCAAAGACGGGGTCAGTTGGAGAAAGGGGGGCCAGAGAGTTGGGCAATGTGGCCAAGAGCTTTTTCACTCTCTCATTAATGATCATTGATAGCTTGATTACACAAAGAGATGAGGGGTCCCAGCTCCAATGTTCAGTCCAAAAAGTCAACAAAATTCTACATGTCCACACACAAACACAAACATTCATTCCAATGCGCCTTCCTTGCCCAATCAGCTCAGCTTTAGGCATCAGATTCAAACATGCAGGTCATTTTCATGCTTTCATTCTCCCAGGAGACATGCATTGTGATCCGGGAGGGGGCATAAATATGTTTTCAGTATGGAAAGAGGGAGCGGGGTGTAACTCATACACAAAGTGGTGCCATTCTCCTTCTCTTGCCTCCATTTTACGACACATATTTGAGAATCTATGCATTGGAAATTTATAGAGCATCTGTGCTTGGTTATGACTAAGGACTGTATAGTAAAGACGCTGTGGTAACGGCCTGGCAGAATAAACAGACGGCCCTTCTGCATTTGGGGTCTCTTCATCCCCTCTGTATGTCTGTATTATATTCTAATTTAATGGAGTCCTCTGATGCTGTCCAGCATGTTGCTAGTCAGCCTAGATTAGAATGTGAAAGTCAGAGAATGAGATGAAACAATAACATTTGGCTTTCTATTGATTAGTGCAGTGGGGCGTAGCATGTGCTTCTCTTTAGCTGAATTATTGATTCCCGAAAGAGGATTTGTGCGTCTGTGTGTCTGTGTGTGCACGTCAATGTGTCTAGTGTGTGTGGCTTTTTATATGAGGTTATGGCTGGGGGGAGCTGGTAGGATGCTGCTTTGATGAGAGGATCCTTTAAAGGCCCTATTTCTGTCTATTCCCCAGCTGATCAGTCCATGGAGTCATTTGCTGAAGTTTGGCCTTCATCCAGCCTCTGTCTTTCTCAGTGAATTTGATGCTTAGTGCTGTTCACAGCCTGCTCTGCATTCAACTTTAATGATAGGTAATAGACGTGCATCATAAATGGGAAAATTACAGTAAAACGCCTCGCTGTGGCCTGTTCCCTCCCCTCGCCCACAAGAGCAATTACAGCTCACTGATCAATTATTGTTATGTTATTATAGCGTTTAGGAAAGAATATAAATTTCAGCTGAATGTGTGCGCTAAGTGCCTGCTTGTCTTGGCGTGCATTGTATCTAATTTTCTCTCTTTGACAGGCATTTTTCGGTTTCCTGTTTCATTATAACACACAACTCTCAAAAGGAAATCTCAAATTACTGATAATTTGCATTGAATCGTTGCAATAAATTCTGCCTCTGTTGTTGAATTTTCTGGGGTTTACTGTCTGTTAACAGTATGGAAAAAGCTCACACTGCTGTACCCTTGTGCTGCTACATCACTAATAGGTTAGGTCATCACCTGCCGAATGTCAGTGATGGTACACTCGTGCAAAAAGCCCAATATATACACTTTAAATACACACACTTGGGCTCTGGCTGTGATCTAGCAGCATACAGGCGTCTGCTACAGTAAGACTAGTACATAGAGAACCTGAGGAGCCAAGAGGGGCAAATTGAGGCTGATTTAGCAGCAGCTAATGTCTCTGGTTTTAAGTAAACAGCAGTCAATGGAGCCCTTTGAGAGGATTTATGCCTGTTTCTGCCCTTGCTATAGTCTTCATGTACGCTATGTCTAAATCTTTGGAACTGGAGGAAGAAATTGAGGAAAAGGGGGATGCATGCATTGAAGAATACAAGACAGAAATGGAAGATAGATGTTGTGCAGTTAAAGCAACGAAAAGGGTTTGGTTTTTGTTACATTGGCTGAACCATTGTGCTACAGAAATAACAACAGAGCCATCGCAAATCCTCCGGTAATGCTTTGACAGCAGAGAAAGAGAAGCATAGAGACAACAAGGGAAAGACAGATATACATAGACATGGAGAGCAAGCAAAATCAAAGGCGGAAAAAAAAAAGGACCAGTTTTCAAAGTCTTTCATGGAATCAGTTATCAGTGGCGTAAAATTCGGCTAGCAGCTTAGTCCCCTCTGTCTCTGCTGATGTGGATCTGCTTTGAAGAGTTTATCAAGGGCTTTTAGGGCTGGAAAGATACACTTCTTATATTACATTTACTAAAGCCCACAGCTCTATTTCCAGGCCGGGGCGATATGTTCTTATTAGCGCTAAGACAGGGGTGGCATAACTCATTTCCCCACTTGTAATTCTTGATACGTGCTTCACGACTGACTGCCCAATACAAAATACTGTCCTTGCCTGGCTGTAAATCTCAGCTCATCATGTGCTCTCTCTTAGCTAGCTCAAATGGCAGGCTTTTTAGCGAGAGCTCGATCTTCTTTTTTTTGTCATGTTTTCCTGATCCTTCACCTCACATGGTCAGGAAGCTGGTGGATCATTAATCAACTAATTCCTTTTGCTTTTTTTATCTGCCTATGCCAACGGCTTTATCCAGTAGTACAATTCCTCTTTGTGTAACTGTCAGTCAATGGGGCTGACAACTCCATTTATTTGCTGTGGCCTGTGTGTACTTGCACACATGCACACACACACTACATTAGGGGGTACTCTTAACCCTTCTCATCTATCAACTGACAGCTCTACCCTGTCTGCACACCCATGCATTAGAGGTTGTGTGTGCATTACTTCTTCCCCGCAGCCTCTTAGAAGCCACAGAGTTGGGTGTTTGGACCCTGCCTTCTGCACGCTGCCATCTACATTACAGCCGCTTTTCCAGAGTGCTCCCTCAACATTGATGTTGTCTGAAGAGCAAAGATAATGAAAATAAAAAAAT